GAATTCATGCACCAAACGAGCAGAGCCCCCTTGTCGTGTTTCTCTCTATTTGTCAACTTCGCATACTTTGGTGAGTGAATAATATGCGATCAACCAAGTGGCGAATCATATTCATAGTCATTTCTGTACAACGAAGAGCTTTGACAGTGTTGAACAAAATCCTTTATTACTATCGTATTGACAACGGAGAATTATTGTAGACGCGCCAGAGCAATTTTGTTGGTATTTGACCGAGAGAGTCTGAAAGGAAGAGAGGAATTCAGGCATGAAGTTGGTGGTGGATCTATCTAGATCAGAAACTTGCGGGCTCATTAGGCGAACGTTCTTGATGTCTTTGACATAAAGTTGGATTCTCTGAAGGTAATTACCCCCCATCATTTTCCCCCTCAAATACACTGTTGGTCATACGAGATGCAGCGGATAATGTACGTTGAGATATAGAGTGATGAAACCGTAAATTCGCAAGGCGCTTGGATTTTGTTAGTTTGCTCAGCTCATTGTTGGAAGGGAAAATTCGTCGTATGTGTCCATTGTGATCTTCTTAAGTTCTGGGGGACTGACATCAGTTCTTGATAGCGGTTATATGTTTCTCTTCTTCAGGAGTAAGCTCATTATCCAATTAATCAAACTTGTTTGCTTACTGAAATATTTTTCATACTGCATTGTTGTATCCGAACGCGTCACAAAATCAACTTTTGACCATCTTGCGCAGTGCTTTCAGAGTAAGGATAAAACTCTTCTTGCTTTTGTAAAGGTGCATCGATAAGGAGACCATATCAGAACTTTGCACACCAAACACTTTCAGAAAATTTGCGTCAGCGTACTTGTAAGGATATTGGACGCGATAAATAGTATTTTTGGATCCCACTGCAACCTTTCCGTCCCTGATTTGTACAATCCGAGTAACTGCCTCAAATACAGGTTCACTGTTGCTTTGGAGAGAGAATATCATAGTTCATTTCGAGATCACGAAGAATTTTTTAGTTTAATTCTTCTAGGGGGATCGTTTAGGCTTGCATAAGAACCACAAACATGTATTAGTGCATGATTGTTCATCATTAAGTGCGATTATAGTGACGATTCGATTGTTTTAAAGTCGATGGGAAGAAAAATCCATAAAGAGATTATCCACTTTCTTTGTATCCCTCGTACACGACACGCTTGTCCAACTGTGAGGTTTTCTCACAAGATTCGAGAGCTTATCAGGGACTTCACCAGCTTTCTCACACCACCTTTGATAATGCTGAAACATAGTATCTCTTTCCACACGAAATTGGCATTGCGATTCAGAGTGTAAGATTTTATTTAATTCCGACTCCTTAACTCCATTGATATAATTGACACTGCTCTCGCTGTAGCGGTTGTTATTGAATCATAGATAGCCGTTTAAAATGGAGTGTGGCTTTGGGTTGGCAAACTCCGTCAAATAGGTGTTGAACGTGTTCATCTCATTCACATTCTTGATCAGACCATCTATCAGCTCTCCGAAATTGACCTTGATGTGCTGTTCCGCCGGATTTACATCGAAAAAGTCATCTTGTCTTCAACGAAGCCGATCAAGTTGTTAGAGACACCAATAAGTTTAGTAATGTTGTCACGTACTTTTTCTTCATGGTACGTTTTACTAGCTTGTTCCGGATTAGTCATTGCAGATTTCATTCGCTCAAGACAGTTACGAAACGAGCGCTTGTCGCCAGCAATTTCCTCAAAGAAGCACAATTTCTTATGACGAAGGAATGGTGATCCACGTTCTCCAAAAATAATTAGTGAGATGCTGATGCATGTGAATATCTGCCGTCCCAAAAGCCTCGTAAGGAGCTTAAAGAAGTTCAAGTCGCCAATTTGTTTTGTACTGAACATAGCATGAGCATAATGCTGCCTAAATAGTGGCAAATGTTCCCGATATATTCCATTAAACACTGGTACTTCTCG